CACCGTTAATTGTCCATGTGACTGTTAGCTGCTTGTTTCTAACTGTGGTATAAAACATTTTCAGATTCAAAGAAAAGTCAAATTTAAAGGTTTGTGGTTTGAGCTATTAGAACTGCTTAATCACACAGGCATCTGTTTGGTAACTGAAGTTCAAAGGTGAAGTTTGACTGTTTTTTTTTTCTGTGTTACTAATATCAACAACTGTAATTATTCCTTAACATTCTTCCCAGATATATTGTGTATGATGTTGCTCAGGTAAATCTGAAGTACCTGCTGAAACTGAAATTCAACTATAAGACATCACTCTGGTGAACAGTATTTAGAAGCCCTGTTAGAGTTATACTGTAGTTACACTATAGCGTTGACTTCTGACATGCTTACGCATTGACTTCTCTTACCAAGATATCAAGAGCTAAACTGCAGAAGAGGTTACTAAATCCTATTTAGTACAACACTTAGTGAAAGTTTTATATAAGTGTGTGTCAACACATGGACCTGAATTATGATGAGAACGAGTACCTGGTTTTGTTTTATACCACTTCCAATTTTGGGGCTGTCAAGTGTTTCTTTTAAGTGACCAAACTGACAAAAAAAAAAAAAGTAATCAAGCTTGTGTTTTTAGCCAAACAGAGCTGAGCAATAGCAGGAAAAGGAACTTCAGGATGTTTGCGATATTTGCTCTGTTAAGGTTCCCTCTTGTTTAAGATACCCTTTTTCAGTTTTCGTTTAAATAAATGATAAATGTGCATTTATTTTGAGGTAAAAAATAAAAGCTAATTTCATACTAACAGCTTTATGTTTCAAAACTTCCAGATTGTTTTGGTTTTGAGTCACGATTTAAATGTATTTGGTAGAATGTTCTTAAACATGGTATCTCTCTGAAGATCAAATGCCAAATATTGAAATCTGTAGTCACGTTTCAGGAAGTCATGGTGAAATGAAAATTTGGACTTTTCACTGAGACTTCATCTGTCAACAGTTGGTGTGGTAAACATGGAAAATGAACTTGTGGCTGTTTGAATTTAGTATTAGCCCCAATAAATCTCCTTTAAATATCTACCTTCAACGTGATGTAAGTTGGTTGTTGTAGACTCAAGTCCTGACAAAGCCGTAACTTTGAGTTTGGGCTCAAGCTTCACTCGTCATGACCTGGAGTGAGGTATGTTGCCACTCGGTGGGCAGTCTTGAATTCCCTGCCTTGAAACATCAATATAAACTAGTAATGTCAATGTTCAGTGATGTTTGTTACTTCTCTTAAACCAACTCACTTTCAGTAAGTCATTGAGCGATGTGGGAGTACTTGACTATAGTGCAACATCAGTTCTTTCTCTTTAATTTACTGATTTCCCTGAGCTATTGGGGCAAGTTGGCTAATCCTCAGGGACAGCTTTGTATGGGCAGTGCAGTCAGTGTCTCCTCCACTATGACAGTTCCCTTCCCAGGAAGGGACAGCTCACACTCATTCTGACAGTTGCAGCTTCAGTCTTCAGTAACCTGCATGGAAAAAACAGACCCGTTTCCTAAAACATGATGCCCCAGTGCCTTTTGAAAGAGGAGTTCCAAGCCAAAGTGGCTACTTACAGTGCAGCTGTTTCCAGGACCTGTGGAGGAGAGGAGGATGAGGAGTGACAGATGGAAAACCAAACAGCTGCTTTTCGGGAGAAAAGGAAATGTGGAAGCACTGGGTAAGTTGTACAACTTGAGGACAGTTGAACAGAAGAGAATCAGTTGAGGTTGGTGGTCGTGGATTTGAGAGGAAATGAAGAGAGTGGCCCTTGTCTTCTGGTTCTTCAGTAGCTCAACCAGTGGCTAATCATTGTTTCACTTCCAACAGAAACTTTTGGTCAGTCATTTAAGACTTAAGTATAGTCTTGTCAGTCTCTGAAAGAGAACATGAGAAACCTCTGCAGCTTGTCCAACCGCAAAGCAGCCCTGCTTCTCCTGAAGGTAGGCGCTGATGCTGCTGTGACCCACTGTACAGCCAGCCTCTCCCTGGGCCAGGCTGAGAAGAGCAGCACAGTGACAACCACTGAAGACATTGCTTTTGGAGTATGTGCAGGAAGCAGAGCTGCATGAATAGGTAGTCCTATTTCTGTCGAAATAACTTGAAAAGAACAAGTTGTCAAGATGTTAGGTCCCATGACATCCTCTGCTTTTTTCAGAGGAGGGATGTTGAGGAATGACTTCTGATCTAAATGTTAAACTACAAAAAGCAGCAACCTATAAATATTTAACCGTTTTATCTTTATTTAGTGTAGCTGGAGGCTCTGTTGTACAATGGCTTGCAAATGTTAAGATAGTCCATGCAGTTTATATGAATTGGGTAAACTGAAGGAAGCCAGCCTAGGCTTACGGAGTGGCAGTCAGTGTGAACTGTGACTTGCCCAGGTTCATACAGGAGAGAAGTGAGAAAGAAAGTCCAGCACAGGTCACCCAACCCTGTGCTTTAGCCATAAAACAATCTTTAAATCAGTTGGTACAGCCTTTAATTAAATGCCCCCCACTCCTCTCTAGTCAGAGGAAAGGGGGGGGGGGGGAATAATTTATGTGTGTAAAAGACCTCTAGGCACATCAAACTTTCTCAATACCATAAAGAGTTGTACTTATGCTCATAAATGAGTCACTCAGTGTTTGTAACTACTGAGGTCTTTGCTTCAGCTTTCTTTCTGGAAGACTGCTCCAGACTTCCCTCTATGAGTTCTGGGGATGTGATTTTCTGCTGAAGCTTTTGTGGCTGATTTATATCCCACTTAGTATTTTGCTTAAATTGCTTTTATATATGTGGCGAGGCCCCTGACTTAGTCCATTATACTCTTACTCCTTCTGTTATGTCTATAAAAGAATAGTTTCCACTGTTGCGGAGTACGTGCGTCTGACCGAGAGCTTGTGTGGACCTTTACTTTCAAATAAATGCCAGTCCACGTCTCCAGAAATGATCATTTTGGAGATGCAGTGGCACCTGTGAGAAGAAATGCAGATGTAGATCCAAGTCAAGGTGTCTTCCTGGTTTTTGTTTGTTCCAGTGTGAAGGTAGCGCGTGGGCAAATGGGCAAGTACAGTCTAAAGGTGAGAAGGAGTGGCTTCCCCCACCCTCTCATTACAAATTCTAATTTCACAACGTGATTAATGCAGCAGGACTCAGACTTCACAAGAACATGCTTCAGTGACGGAAGAGCACGTTGTTCTGCCAGCTGTCTATGCTTTCCTTCATGCTACCAGTGCCTGCCTAGGGGAGGAGAGAAAATGAGACCCTGGCTGTCTCCTGTCCCCGGGACATAGTGCTGCCTGTGCTGTGCTGACAAGACTCTGAATGCATTGATTAGTAGGTGGTGTAACCCGTGTCTTAATATCATCTGCAGTAATTAAGGAGAAACGGGAGCGCGGATGTGCTTTCTGCAGTGTTTCGGCGCACGCCGTTAAGAGCAGTTGCCTAACATGACCCTCTGGGAAAGCGAATGGCATGAGTGAAGCCAGTTTAAAGATCTCCCTCCATCTGTGCAAGGCAGGTGAGTCAGGCCGGTTGTCAGCAATGAGTGCAGGTGTCCTCGGTCACCGTGCCTGTCTGTCGGAATAATTGTGTCGTTTCCACCTCACACAAGTGTAAACCGCAAATTTGCCAGAATGGGAAAAGGAACACACTGAAAACATCTGTGTTTGTCTGCATACTGTCAAACGGGGTCGTGTTTGTGTGACTTGGAAGCAGCATGCACAGGAGAAACAAAATTGGAATATTAGACATACCGCAGCATTCGTAAAAGGTCTTTTATAGCAGGAATCCTCAAAATACAGTGATGACTGTTACCTTTCAGCACAGTGAATGGTAGCAGCTTTTGCTAAATATTTTCCAAATGCAGGAATATCCAGCGACATGCTGTTGGGAGCTGGATTCTCACTTCCGACCTGGTAATTCTTAGGACGATCGACAGGAGGTGTTGGGGGAGAGGGGAAATCTCTTGGCTTTTCATCTGTTTTCTAGGGTTTATTACAATATACAAAGAAGCCCTGAAAAGGCATTGGGTTTTTTTTGTGGTGATGTTTTTCCTCTTTCTTTTCCCTTCTAGAAATTCAGGCCCTGAGGGGTGTTGCAAAATGCAACTGTGTGGTAGAAAACTTTTCTTCTTCCCTCCCCCGAAAACCCCTTGCTTTGGTGAAAGCTCTAGCATCAGGGTGGCGCTGGGCAGCCGCTGCTTTCAGCACAGCGAGACCTGATGACAAGGTTTACAAAGCAGAGCAGTAAAGATCTCACTGGTCATCGGTGTCTTCTGTCAGCTGTGGAAGTCTCCGTGTCGCCACCCTTAGCTGAGCAGTAACATACAACCCTTGGAACAAGGGGAAACACAGGAGAGATGCTAGCCTCGTTAAGATGTTATTGTTTACCCAAGCCTAGAAGGTCTGGTCCATGTCAGGCCTTTGGGATGACAGAGGTGTTTTATTAAAGGGGAAAAATTGTACAGGGTTTAACGTTGTGTAGTTTTTCCCTTTGCCATAGCACAATTTACCATTTTGCTGCTTTTTGTTTAGTTATTTAGTGTTATGCCTACGCTGCTTTGCACCTGTCTACTTTGTGCTGTGCGCTGTGGAAGGCTCTCGCTGAAGTGTCTTGGCCCTTTGGGGGCTAAGGGGAAGGCAGGGCTGTTTTAACAGCCTTTCAAAATGACCTGAAAAAGGAGGTGGAAATGCATGTTAGGCTTCGTCTTTTCTTTTAACTTTTTTTTTTTTTTTAACTTTGCTACAACGTACTTACAAAGCCCTGGGGAAATTTCTGAAGGATTTTACTGGTTTTCTTCTCTTAGAAACTCACATTTTTTCCCTCTTAGGCACATGGGCAGCATTGAGTTTTTTAAAATTTTTAAAATTGTTTAGTAACATGACCTATATCCTGCTTTTCAACCTGCTAGAGTGTCTAGTCATCTTCAGCTCACTAGGAAATTAAGAACACAAATTAAAAACTGCATTCCTTGTCCAAAATATATGTTTCTGTGTTTTGCAGAATCCTTGGTTTCACCTAGATGCTTTTAAGAGATGGAAAAAACAGGCATAGCGTCCATTTTGCTGTTGGCAATATGTCTGTTTATAAGATGTAACACTGACTTAGCCTTGACTAAGATATACTGTTAATTTATTTTGAACTTCAATTTGCATTTTCACATACTGAAAAAGAAAAGGAATTTTGGCTGGTACAAGTAGCAGTAGTACTGTTGTCAAAACCGAGCACGCATAAAAGAGTCTGGTCCATAAGCATTGAAGGTGCTTACGGTTTACAGTATCTCCATGTTTTGATTTCTTGAGGCAGCAGCTTTGAAACTCACCGTGGTGCAGAGGAACTACACCAGGAAACCACCTCTGCTGCTTGCAGAAAGCTTTCAGCCATGATGGCTGGGGACTGCATTAGAGGGCAGACCAAGACAAGGAATTCATGGCCAGCACCTCCTTTCCCCTCAGTGTTGAGGAAAGAGAGCCAACAAGCGAGACCTTGACCTTCAGGCCTTGGACTCAGTAGTTCAGTCGACTCCTCAGGAAAAGTGCCAAAGACTTGTTACAACTACAGGGCCAGCACTGATTGTGCTGGGGTTTTTATTCTTGCCACTTACTCCTCCTGAAGTCTCACCTTTGCGATCATTTTGGTTAGGCATGGGACTGCTAACTGAAAAGCAGAGTGAAGGAAAAAAAATACAGTTTAGCCAAAAAAAA